ATATATAATTTCACACTATCATTCACATTGTGTTTCACACAATCATTGCACTACATTACATTTTATAAAATTAATCAACACTGAACCATATATGCCCACCATTGCCCCATCTTTCCAGATTCCTGCCAGATCTTTCCCATTTCCTTTACTACCCCCTCCCCTAATCCATCAAATTGTGCGACTCTATGATGCCCCCCATCCTCATCCCTCTGCCTCTCCCTTTGGATCCACATACACCTTTTACTAGTTACAATAATGGTCTCATACAGTATTCGCTGTTATGTGACTGAGTTAGTTCACTCAGCATAATGCTTTCCAGTCCATTCCAAGTTAATGTAGTACTTTTCGAATCATCGCTCCTTAAGTGCTGCATAGTATTCCATTGTGTGAATAAACCACAATTTCTCAGTCCATTCAACTGTAGTTGGAAATCTGCACTGTTTTCACGTTCTTGTGATGCTGAATAGTGCTGCTATGAACACTAGTGTATACAAATCTGTTTGTGTCTCAGTCCTAATTTTCTCAGGGTATATTCCAAGGAGTGGACTAGCTGGGTCTCTATGTGGGCTTTTGTATCTCTTGGGCTTAAATCTATTATGGCACTTTATCATGTGCATGAATTTGTCTACTTTCCTACAAATTGTCTATTATAACTTACAGCAAAAGACCTAACATACAGCAAATATTTAATAAATGTTACCAAAGATAATGAGGGTTGAATGACCCTTAAGTCTGTCTTCATGGCACTTTCAAGAACCTTAGTTTTGACATTTAACCAAAAGAATAATAAGGGGCTACTTAACGGTTTCAAGTTATCTTAAATATTTTCAATTCAAGTTTATATTATAAGGGCTTGGAAAAAAAAACATTACATGTTTAATTACTAACAAAATTTCCCATGTATCCCACATAAGGCAGGATGAAAAATAAAAGTAGATACCAATACATAAAATGTAAGAATATTACATAGAATCAGGGAGCTCTTGTGGCCTAGTGGGTTATGAATTGTGCTGCAAACCCAAAGAAGAGTGGCTTGGATTTACCAGTTCCTCTCATACAATTTGCAGTCTTTGAAAACTCACTGGAAGATCAGCTATGAGTCAGTTCTAACTCAATGACAACAAGTGAGTTATATTAAGTCACTTTTGAAATTAAGATGAGACAGACATTTTGAGCAAGATTTAAAAAAAAAACACATACTACTTCTCACAAGGATTTAGGGGGAAATATGATAGCAGTGAAAAAAAATATATACTTTCTCTAAAAGCAGACCTCCAGGTTTCACAGTTATGAACAGAAGCAAAAGACATGATCAGTTTCCTCATCCATACTAATGAATAGGTCAGAGACAAATTAGAAGATCTCTTCATGTTCTGAAATGTGAAGTTTAATGTACAAAATTACAACTATTTTATAGTAATTTTATATGATGAGAATATGGACATTATTATGGCAAAATAAAGAAACAGTACCAAAATCCTTTAGAAACACAAACTCCACAAATATAGACTATTAAGAGATGCACCTTTAAAAAAAAAAGAGATGCACCTTTTATGAATAAATATTTATTTGTATAAGCATACCATCTGTTTCCTGTACCACACTAATGAGTATTAATATAGGCTCAATCTCTGGTTTTGATGACCACTGTAGCCCCGTAAGTCCCTGAGCATGGCAAATGTTAACCCAAAACACAAAAGTTAAGAGTCTATTACGCAGAAGTGCCTCAGTAGAAAAGCCTAGCAATCTATTTCCAGAATCTCAGTAATTAGAAACCCTATGAAGCTGACACATATGAGCTTACTATGAGTCAGAATCAACTGAGATTTCGGTTTGCTTATTTTTAATAGCAACATATGTTTGTGGTTTATTAATGAAATGATGGATGAGTGCCTTTCAGCCACTCAGGTTTTCAAGTGCTGGCCTGAATGTGAAGTTCACACTGTCCTGAGCTGGGAATTCCAACTGGGCCCCTTGTCAGGCCCTCGAGTGGTGGCAAATTCATCTCTTTACCTCTTTCATCAATAGACAGCCAAGCATATGTATCCTGACCACGTTCTTGCACTTTCCACCCCGTCTCCTACCATAGTAAGCCTTCCCCATAAAATTTCTATTAGTCTTCATCAGTCACTTCCCCAACCAGTGTATGTTCCACATACTGACTACTGTTCTTACACACAGTATTTAGCCTATGCCCCTCTAATGACAATTCTGCATGTCAGGCCAGCTCTCTGTATTCCCTTTCTGAGTGTGGTACTTGGCCCTGCTGACAACCTCCTATGTTTAATGTTATGCACTAATGACCGTGACTAGATTGTTCTTCTTTCCCTGAATTAAAATATTTTCTTCCTTCATTTCTCATTAGTTACTAAGTTTCTTTCTCCAAGATAGTATTTTAAATTATGTGCTTACTAGAAAATAACAGTATAGATAAAATATACTTTGCTTCATATGCTACTATCCCTCCATTCATTCAATGACTAAACAAACCAAGAAAAGAACAGACTAAGTATACACAGTGTGTCAAGAATACCTGGTGCACTTAAGGAACTGTATCTGTGAATATGCCTACCAGTCCAACAAAGACTGGCTAAATCTAATAAGAGTTCAAAACGGTCAGGAAGAAAGCTCTCTAACCTTGTATTCCTCAAAACCACTTACATTAGTCTAAAAGAACACATGCTAAAGAAGCCTAATTAATACATACAAGACTTATAAGTCCTCTATTACTTCCTGTCATTGCTAAACAAATACAGCCCTAATATATACTACGCAAAAGAAATGGGAAACTGTACACAAAGGAGAAAAAAGCAGAATTGTTTAAATAGCCTTCAACCATAGCAAATGTAGAACTTGGGGCATTTCTAGTTTTATGGAAATAAGTAAGAGGATGCAATTCAAGGAAAGTCTGGCAGCTGCCAAAGAAAGCAGAATGCCTCTCCTTCCAAAGAGACTGATTAAAATTCATGTTCCTTCTTGCATTCAAGCTTTCGACATGAGCTGAATGCAGAGGAAAATAAATTACAAGGCTTGCCATAATTGCAGAAAAATAAATTCAGAAAGTTAAGTATTATTTCCCTTTCACATCTCAAATTCAAAATCTGAAAAGATTTTCATATTAGACTCTCTTTATCTGTTAAGAGATTAACCTCAATATTCTTCTAGATTACCTCTATTAAGAAAAATGTCCTACCAAACTGGTTCTGAAAGTAAGAAGAAACAAACACAAAGATATAGGCAAACAAAATTCTCTAGTATGGCTTTCTGTATTTGCCTTTGAAGATTACTTATCAATCACTTAAGATAATACACAACCTATGGTACTAATGGAATTTAAAGATTCCAATTTGGAAGCCAATGATCTCACTATGCCTCAGGATACTGAACAGAGATCCTCAGTCCACTTGCAGCCACCCTTCTTTGTCTTTCACAGCATTCACAGGAAAGAGCCTGTCAGCACTTACTGCTGCTAAATGGAGCAGGAAAACAATCAAAGAAAACACAGATCCCCCATCTTGCCCTGATAGACCTGCTACTCCAATGGCCACACACTGCACATGCCATCTTAAAGCCAGGCCCCTTCTTACTGGTGCCTGGGTGTCATTACAAATCCATTTCTACCAAGTAATAGTCCATCAATCACTGGTATAATTATTACCAGGAAAGGAATTCTACAACAGAGTACTCATATGTTACCTAAAATACCATACTGATTTCTCTATACTTCTTCAGAAAGGAAAAAACCTCAACACATTTAGCTGGTAAGACTCATATAAGCAAATAAAAATGTCGTACTTTGTGTTTTAAAACAAAATAGGCCTTCTTTTTTAAAAAATGATAGTAAAGAAATCTGAAACAAATATAAATAATTCTTTTCAGGAGAGAGAGGAAGAATACAAAGGGCATAGATTTTAACACCCCACTTCCACCCCAAAATACCTTATCAGGCCACCACTGCAAATCTTCTCCTAGAGAGACTGGACTTTGAACAGGCGTATTCTTCTTATCCAAGTTTGGTTCTCCTTCCTTGCTGGTAGAGCCCCTCTCATTATCAAACGAGGCTCCATCAAGCCACCTTCGTTCACGTAAACGTAAAACGGATTCACGTTCACGCAACAGGTCAGAGTCTCTCTCTAAGGGAAGAAGGAGAACTGGTATGCAATTGGGTCACACCAGTGGGATAAAAGTAAGCCACTCTCTAGTAAAGACCCTTCAGGATGCAAACTAACAGCAGTTTGTCTACTTAAAAAAAATCTGTAAATGTAAGTGTTTATCTACTAAGCCTGACATGCAACATTCAAAACATTAACCCTTTCAAGTGAATGAAAGAAAATAATAAACTTTGTAACTTTTTGTAAACTCTCTTGAAGCAGGCATTTACAAATTCCAACTATGTTTTAGAGTAGAAACACGTTTTAAGCAAGTGTTTTGAATTTTTAAATACAGTTTACAAATTTTTGCTTTCTTTAAAAATGTTCACTGTAACATTTTAAGTTATCTATAAAAAAATTTTAAAAAAATAAATGCATGTATGCTAGACAAAAAGAACATCTATTTAATCTTCAGTTAAAGAAAAACCTCCACTCTCAAGTTACTTGAAAAGGTTAACATACATGGCCATTATATAAACTAACTACAAATTTTATTTTTAAAATCCAAGCCCATATTTAGAGTAACTTTATAGGGTTGGATTTTTCTTTTTTTATAAATATGTCTTATTTAATATTTTGAAGAACCAACAGACTTGTCTTTTTTTTTAAAAAAAAAATTTCTATACCCAAAATGCTTCCTTTCTAGTTGGTTTACAAGCCATCTTAAGTCTATTTTTATCCATACTTTGCTTATGGTGGGGTTTTTTTTTGTTTTTTTTAAAAAAAAGATTATCAAAATAAACTTTCTAAGACTCAGATAACAAGGATTAGAAAGAAAGTTGAATCATAGGAAATCAGTACTTACACAAGTTAAAATCAATCAAATATTAGCAATTGCCTATGGTTCAAAAGTATTAACTACATGAAAGAATATCAGGAAACTAGAAAAGGGAAAAATGAGGAGTTGTTTGTGTTGGGTATTAAGTAGGCAAAAATCTGATGAATTTTTATGGCAGTAAAGTATGTATTAAAAATTTTAAAGCTATTTCATATTACTTATTTTAAGAGATCATAATAGGTTTTGTCAATTTGTAACTATACTTTTAAGCACTAAGGTATTTACAGAAAAGTTTTAATATAAGATAGGCCCTTTCTCAATCTACTAATGACAATAATACAGTTCACTCTTGATGGTTATTTAAATAAAATTTTCATTTAAAAAAGGTGAAAATACTGACAATGAAAGTTATGGTATAAGCTGAAGCTGTAACAGATATACAAAGAGGATAGTTTAATCATTTTTAAATCTTATTTCTGGCCTCTAGTGTATACTGTATCTCTTAAAGATTTTAAAAAATTTTAAAAACATTATCTTAATAAGCTCAGTATTTCTATATAATTACTGGCAAGTCTGATAAGATTTTCATATTTCACACTTTCATCTAACCAGCTTTAAAATGAACAGATAAATAACTATTTTAATCAGATAAACAAAGGAGATTTGTTTTCTGAATGCTGCATGTCACTATAAAGTAGAATTCTGCTTTTAGTTCAGAATCTATATTCCGCTTTAAAAATATAGATAAGATAAACTATAAGCCTTAATAAGTATTCCACAATGTTACAAAAAGTCACTAAAATATTATTGTGGCTCTTAAAAAAAAGAAGAAGAAAAAAAAACCAAAACAAAACAAACTAGTTTAAATTCTAAAGTACACCCAAAACATTAATAAGTTGTAACTTCATCTACATCAATATTAAAAGTTCAAACACAGTGAATTCAACCATTCTTTCTCCATAAAGCCAGTCAATGATAAAAGAAATAGGTGCAAAATTACCTCGAGATGAGCCTAGCCTGGAGAGCGATGAACGGCGAAACGAAGGGTAACCAAAATAACTAATGTCTTCAGAAAACATGGCATCTGCATCAATAATGACACTTGGGTGGGCAGAATGAATATCAGCATCAAGAAGAGACATAAGATCCTCTATAAACAGAAACAAGTGGAAAATGAAGATGCTAGAGCATACACACCTTCAGGACACAGAAAGACTTCTACAAGGTAAAACACAGCAGAGTCAGGACTAACTACTGGGGTAACCAGAGGGGTAAAAGGAAATAATGCTGGGATTCTTAGTGTACATTTTAATGGGATACCTGTTTGCTTACGTTACCTCTGAGTAAACAGAGGAAAAAGATTACTATTTAAGATACAATGATTACACAAGCAAATTCTAAACATAGTTTAACAATATTAAACCATATTCTCTAATAAAGGCATGAAAAGAACATTCTGGAGTCATCTGCCAGGCAGTGATAAAGACAGAACATATATACATTCTTTCATGCAAAGACAAATCCAACAAACATAAACATGTCTACACTTTTACTGGGAAAGACTTTACAAGCAAGCAGTGCTGTGGTGAGAATAGTATTCCAGCTTGGAAATAATGGTCAGAATATCCTTTCTGCTTCAAAATTCCACTTTCCAGGCAAAAGGACAGGTAAGAAAACCTCCTAGCAAAGCACCCACCTCCAGGTAAGTAAGATTCACTGGCTGTATCGTCACCATCATCTCCATCTTCATCATCCCGGCTCAGTAAATTATTTACAGCAAGGTTTACATCAAGATTTGTTCGCTGAAGTTCCCGAATAATGACACTTCTAGATTTGCCTTGTAAAACGACTTGGGCCTAAAATTTTAAAGTAAAATCGAAAAATGAAGCTGAGGACTATGCTAATTTCTTTTCCATGAAAATCAGTTTAAGATCAATGCAACAAAAGTTTTCCATTAAGAGTATGGTTTGCCCTCCTCATTTAAACGTCACCATGTTTTGTTCCCCTACATGGTTTCTTGCAGAATTCCCACCTGTGAAATCAGCTCCTCTGGAATGACAGACGCGGGAATAACTGGCTGGGGCTGACTGCCCAGGAGCCCTGAGCCTCGATCCCGTCCTGTCCGAATCACTCGTGTCTGTCGGCGGGAATCTCGAGCTCCCGCTGACGACCTCCCAGAAGATCCTCCTCCACTTCCACTCACTCCTGAACTCCAGCGACTTCTAAAGAGGAGAAAGTGTATTTAGCACTGTCTTTACACACGAGTGCACAAAAGTATGCATTTTAATTATTTGAGTAAAAGTTTACAAACCATGAGGGTTTTACATCTGACCACATGTTTTAGGTTGGAACATTAATTACAACCGATAAACTTAATTCATTCTAACATCTAATCAATTTCTTATTGTATATTGTCTTTCCTTTCACCCAATTTATTAATTTTTCTTTTTCCTCCTTTCCCATCTCTGCTAACCAAGAATGATTCTGTCTGTAAATTTTTCTTCAGCTTTTTATTACAGGGGTCTTAATAGTCCTTTTGTAAAAAGACTTACTTTCCTTAGCACAATGTCCTCTCAGAACTAGGATTTTAATAATCATTCTGAAAACTATTTTGGGTCACATTTTCATTTTCTCCGGTCAAGATAAAAATGTCTATTTTAACATACAGTGTTGTGACAGAAAAATAATGTAATAAAATTGAACTTTTAAAATGCTTACAGATAAATTCCTTTTTAGAAGCAGATGCCACACTTCTGCATCTTCTAGTGTACTTTTAAAAAAAAATTCACATAATTTTGTATTTCTAGTCACAACCCTAAAATGAGTTGTCACTTACCTCTGCATAAAAGCTGTATTAAACCTAACTATTAACATCCTGATACAAACACTATAATGCAGAGTCTGGGGCTCAGAGTGCTTTCCCTGGAATAAAACATTTATTCATAAACAATACTTTGCTAAAGCAGTATTAACAATCTTGATCAAGAGGAAGCTACTGCTTAATGGCTATGTTCATTGTTTCATAATTATGAGAAAATTCATATTAAAGGACATGTTGTCTAAGTCTTCACTTATTGCTCCAGGCATGGCAAGTTTTACATTAAATAAGTCAGAATGCTTTTCTGTATTCACTTCAGATGTTAAAACAGTCACAAGTCATCAGCCTTTCAAATTATGATAGTGCCAGTTCTTTTAAAGATGTATCTAATGTTTAAAAATCACTCAACCAAGAGAGGTGGTTGTTTTTGTTATTTCTTTTCACATTCCTCCCAATTCCTCTGTAGGCCCTCATCTAAAGCTAAAACTCATTCTACACCTGTTTTTCCAAGCTTTCTTTTTCTCCCTTTGAAAGCTTTTGTATGTATTAATAATTCTCAAGTCAGGTATCAAATTTCCTTATCACTCTTCTTATTTCATTAGATATCCCAGTCTCTACCTAGAAATAACATAAAATTTCCTACCTTCAGTATGATTAAAAAACCAAGAAGAAGGGAGGAGAGGGAAATCCCAAGAAAAAGCAGTGCTGGCCTTCGGAAGGCTCTCTACACTTGCCAATGCACATCATGAACCCATGCTTATCCAGTATCTGCATCTACGGCCCAAAACACTTGGCAAAATTATTTTGAAGCAAACTGTATTGTGCTCCCTCAGAGTTGCAGTATGAAACAGCACTTATTTCAGCTACGGAACAGATTTTTTAAATTATTCATAAGCCCAAACAAAGCTCTCATTAAAAGTAAACAGTATTTTAAAAACATAAAGCTGTATATTACTGTTTCAGTGTAAAGCAACCATGTTAGCTGCCCAGCACAAAGAGCTGTTGAATACTGAGCTGATTCTGAAATCCTGTGGTCAATAACCAAGTCACAGAAAGCTCCAAGCTACTGATTCCGAGTTTAACTCACCTTGCTATCAAAGCTCTTTCATTATGTACAGATAGCATTAACATCTTAAAAGCAAAGTGGCCCCTAAAACCAAAGTTGATGCTCTGCTTCATTTCTATACCCTAAGACAAAGGAACTGTATCCTCTTTTTTTTTTTTTTTAATTAATTTTAGTGAAAGTTTTCAAAGACTTAGGGTTTCCAATCATTCATGGTTGTACTTTTCTCCCTGTCCACACCCCCTCCCCTCAATTCACTCTTCTCCTTGGAAAGTAAAACTCTTTCATTGTTATGCAATCCCTCCCTGCCAAATCCACTCCACTGTGTAGCCTTCATTCTGGACTCCTGTCATGACAATAATACCCAATCATATATCCCTTTTAAACAGTCTCATCTGTTTCAATGCAATATGCATCATTTCTCCCCTCCTCCTCTGTCTTCCCTCAACCCTGATGTCAGTCCCATTTTACAACAGTGGCCCTATACAGTATTTCTCCTTTTCTGACTAAGATATTTCACTCAGCATAATGTCCTCCAGGGTCATCTATTTTGCATAATATTTCATGAGTTCCTTGTTTTTCAATGCTGCATATTATTCCACAGTGTGAATGTACCACAGCTTCTCTATCCATTCGTTTGTTGATGGGCACTTGGATTGTTTTGAGCTCTTTGCTATTTATTGCAAGCAAAGTTGCTCAAAAGAGCTCTCTTATCTAAAAAGTCAGGAAACAAATGTATGGGCACCCCCTTTTCTTTACTATCTTTTTTTAAATGGACATTCAGTAACATGTATAAATCTTTCTGTAAAATATAACCTTAAAAAAAGTATAACCGTCAGGTGTTTCTGGTTTAGCTGTCCTGCTTTTTCTTTTTCTACAGCATGCTAGAATAAACTACCTTCCCTGACTTTTAGTAACTGGAGTGGTTACTGATTTTTTTTTCTCCCCACACCATTATTAAACAAATGTTGTCAAATTATATATATTTTTATATTTATGTAAAAAAATTTAGCAAAGGTGAAATGAAACTAAGCAGACAGATTCCAATAAATTATTAAATCAGTTACTTCTACTTTAGGTTTCCTATACATATTTAAAATTCTTTCAGGTGGAACTATATTTCTTGAATATCTTTGAAGGCTGACAAGTTCAAATACATTATTTCATCTTGAAAACAAGAAGAATTACTAAACCTAAGCGTCTAGAACAGATATAATTAAAATTATTCAAGTCTGAGATTTTTTAGGCTGGTTGTCGTTTAATCCTGCTGCCTGAGTCTAATCATTTCACTCAAAAATATCCCACTTCGGACAATAAATTTTATGGTAAATTTAAAGACAATGGCTGCATCGCCTGAAATTAATCATGAAAAAACAACAGACAAACCCAAATTGAGGGACCTCCTATAAAACAGTTTTCTGAAGCATCAGAAACTTCATGAATTTCAGAACGACAACACACACAAGAATACTAAGGGCAATGTGTGGTCATGTGTTGAATCCTAGACCAATAAAATATCTGAATGGGACAAGTGGTGAAATTTTAATAGACCCTACAGGTTATGTCTTATATTAATTTTGTGGTTTTGATCACGGTACTCAAAATTCAAGCTCATTGACATTATAATGACCACTGATTCATAATGACCTCGGAAACCACTGGGAAGGTGTAAAATCGTAGGACTGTCCAGCTTTCTTCCTCTTGAGAGGCACAGATGAATTTAAATCCCTAGAGTCTTTTGGTAAGGAGCAACAACAGCCCACTCCTGACTAGGCCAAAAGAGAGTACTAGGATTATGTAAAGTGGACATTTGAGGGAAGCTAGGTGAAGGTATACAGAAGTTATACTGCACTGTAACTTTTATGTAAGTTTAAAGAAATATAAGGTTAAAAGAAGTACATGTAATTAACAAGGGCACAGTATTAAGAAAAGTAAGGACTGCTGGGACACAGAGTCTGAACTAACTGTAGCTGACCCTCCAGTGGATTTTCAGAGGCATTAAGAGGAAACTGCCCCTCCTTCTCCTGTAATGCAGCTAGTGGCTTCAAACAGGTGCCTTGTGCCTTTATTACTCTGTGTGCCATGGCGTCAGAACAGACCCACAGCTGACTCTCCACCCGGTTTTCAGAGGCAGTATATCCCATAGGAGGAGATGGCCCCTCTTCTCCTAGGGAGCAGCTGGTGGAGTTAAACCACGTGCCTCTGGGATTGCAGTGCATCTTATCACTAGGCCACCAGAGCTCCCTCCAAGTGTTACTAGGTAAACTAAAAACACAAACCAACAATTTATCTGTAATTACAGCACAAGCAGTCACTGATGGTTTGTTAAAATCTATGCATGGCAGGATTTTTCTAAAAAGAGGATTAAGGGCAAGATTCTGCCAACCCTTAAGTGAAACAAAGAATTATAATCTTTAAAGAGGGTTCAATTTAACCCAGTAAAATAGGCAGTAATCATTCTTTGTTAAATAATAGAACAGCATTTGCATATCATGTTATTAACAGAATTCTTTATTCTTCATACTATGTGACCTTTAAACAGAAATAAAACATTTTCCTATGTTCCCTGTTCATAGTTTTGACACAGACTAAGCTAAAGGAAGCACTTGACTAAATGATCCTCCTTCCCACCTCAAAATAAACTTCATCAGCATCCCAAATAAATAAATAAATAAATTTCATCAGCATAAAAACCAAAAAGAGGCAGTTCAAACCCACCAGATGCTCTGCTGGAGAAGGAGGGGGCAATCTCCTCCTGTACCAGTCAGATCTGATTTGACGGTACACGTAAAAATAATACAATAAAATAAAATAAAAAAAAAATTAAAAACCAAAGAGAGCTAAAGGAATGACCCTTTTTTAAATTCCACTTTTTAAATCCCTATTTACTTTACATGTCAATTCAGTGTCCCACTGCTCCTATAATGCCACACCTTTCTCTACACTTCCGACTTACTCTGAAACAATTTTATCTTTCTCTGACCAAACTTTGAATATGTATGTCACCTTGACTATCTATCTGGCATTATCTACTTAATTGAGTAATCCAGTTATTAAAGTCTACCTAGAAAACTGATGAAATGATCTAGTTTGGAATTTGTATATGGTCTCTTTTTATTTTTTTATAAATTAAATGGCAAAGGAATTGAGTACCTAGTTTATAAAAAGACATTTTATAGATACACTTGAAAATGAAAAATTTATTAAAGGCTCTAAGGTTCAGATACGTGATTCATAAATCTCATTAAATACAGAAACTACTACACAATTTAGATGCCAAGAAAATATAAATGTTAGATAGTTCTACCCAAGAGTAAGTCACAAGTTTTGATCAAAAATTGTACTACTGAAATTTTAAATGGCACAGACAGCAAAACAAAGCATTATAAACACAAACAAGCGTTATGTATTTTTTTAAAAAGCCAAGGGCTGAGTTAATGCAAATGTGTGGGTTATTTTTATCACTGTGGGCAGCAAGGGTTTCCTCATTGCGTTAGGAGAGTATACTGAAGATGACTGATCACTCAGGACAGTGAATTGAACTGGAACTTACCCTAGGGTGTTGCCTGCCAGTCTGCCCAGAGTCTCGGAACCTGAGAGAAACCATGGGGAGTCGCTCGTCCTACCAGGCCTCGAAGTCCTCCCCGCCCCAGAGGTGCTGTTCAACTTTGACCTGAGGGGGGCAAAAATCCATCACACAATAGTCCAAAACTGCATAGAATAAACCTGAAACTCCAGCCCTCAATCCATGACTGAATAAAGGAACACTGCCTGGTCTCAGACCACCCTATAGCGGCTTGTGAATCTGTCAGTCACATTCCACAGGAGTTCCATTTCCACCGGCTCATTTTCAGAAGGAGATGTGATCACTAGGCCTTTCTTCCTAGTTGGTCTAGCCTGGAAAATGCTGCTATGCAGCATTTTACCCGCACACAGGTCCTCACGGATAGTTCAGGTGAACAACCCCCTTTGCTTGAGGTACATGACTGGGATTCAACCCAAGTCTCCCACACACAAGGTGGGAATTCTCACTGTGGTCAATACACCAATTTAACCATTCTCTGCTAACTCTTACTAAAATGCATATTTCATACCAAAGAGAATATAAAAATGAATAGTCTCATAAAAATCTAATGTTCTTGACTGGTTGAAATCATTTTCATATTTTAACTGCAAATTAATTTAAATAGTAAATTTGTAATTTTGATTTTTTTTGTCCCAATCATACTTTCCTACTAAACTACATCATACATTATCATTCATCCTTCTTTACATACTACTGTTTGAAGATTCTAATGGTTTTACATTTAATTACTTGATCTGAAAATAATAAAGAGTATAAATGATCTAAAAAATCATTCTAGTAGAACAGGTAACACATGAAATATCTTTCTTCTGATAACCTAATTTTCTTAAATAATCAATGATCCTTTTGCTAGTTTTAATGAGCTATCACTCTCTCCTTATATAAATATTCAAATCAAAATACAAAGTAATCATTCCACTCTATTGTGCAATGTCTTTTTTAATGTTAAAAAAATATAAACAATCTCTTCTAAGAGTAAAATTAACAGAAAAGATGTATCTTACCCATCATTATTATCAGGTTTACCCAATTCCAATCTGTCTGGCTGTACAGAAAAGCCAATCCTGCAAACTCTACCATCCTAGAGCAAAGAAAAATTCCAAAATAAAAATGAGCATTAAAATTTGAATGCTTCAACGAACAGAATTTTGTACCTATTACTGCCAATAAGACAAGTTCCCTTCCAGAAAAGTCTCCCACCAGAGCTGGAGATATGTGATAAACATCAAGAAAACAGGAGAAAAGAATCTAAAGAATCTCAATCAAATAGAATTCAGAGAAACAAAATGACTGGGTATCAAGTTTCCCCATTCTGTGACAAGTTTCAAACTCTAGTAAATCATCTAAACTTTGTGTGGGCCCAAACTCATTTATACAAACAACAAGCAGAACTGGGTTGTCTTCTATAAATAGCCCTTCTCTAAGCAGTTCAAGTAGCCACTGTTTTCTCTGGTTAAAAAGGAAAACGATAATGTGTGCTAAGTGTATCTTCAGTATATGTTCTGTCGAGTCATTTACCTCAAGAAGAAAAGCAGCATGATTTGGTCCCACCACACACTGTTTAATTGTAGCCTGTTCCAATACATTCAAAGGGGGGTGGCTATGGATTGTAAAAAATAAAAAGAACATGTAAGTAAAATTATTTCTTTAAATGGTAATACATTCTAGATTCTTATCCCTCAATTACCATAAGAACAAAAATAACTAGCATACCTTTAAACAACAAAAGCTAACAACAAAACTACTCAGTTACTTATTTATAAAGCAGTAATTCAAAAAAGAACCCAACCCATAAAAAGTTGATACTTGAAAAGAGTCTTAGTAGTTTCTGCCTAAATATAAACACTTTTTCCAATAAAATCTATTCTTCATTCAAATGTATTAAAATATTTAAAGTATCTTAAAATTCTTACCTGTTTAAATTATATTTGTTCAGTTTCTCTGAAACTTCTCGTAACCTTTGAAAATCAGAATAAATCACATAAATAAGACAGTTCTGACCGGTACTTGGATTGTAATTTTTTTTTCCCAAAACTTTACCAATCCATTAGCAATTTCAACTACAAAGAATAGTCTTAATCCCATTTTCCAAATGAGCAAACTAAAGCTTCTAGAGTTTATGTCACAAAATGCAGCAGTTGAGACTTGAGCAACAGCAGATAATGAAGCCCTGGTTTGACTGATTATGCATTGTAATAAAACAATTAACTTAATTAATGGCAATTAATGTTTTAAAACAGAACGCCTAAGAATGACTGCATGAAATCAATGTGATTTGAAAACTTTCAAATGAAAAACAATTAAACAAAAAATGCTCCAGGTTTCTAGTCAAAAATTCATACACATTTTATTTGATGACACTAATTATAAGACTTGTGACCACGGGCCTCTCAATTCATCCATGTGTTTCTCCTTTCCATTAATCCTTCCTGCTCCTGAGCTTCATGCCTGGGCAAATGCTGCCCTTTTTAGTCTTACTGATGTGATATACCATCAAGTCAGAACCAACTTGTAGCTGATTCTCCAGCAGGTTTTCAGAGTCAGTAAATTTCACAGGGGGAAACTGCTCCTCTTTCTCCCAAAGAGCATCTGCTGGATTCGAACGAGTGCAGTGGGTTGGTAGCACAACTCCTTATGACGAGACTAAGTCATCAGAGCACCTTTTTAATCTTAGAATGTTGTAAGGGGCAATAGCTCTCTCTTGTTCTTGTTCTTGCTATTACTGTTAATAGGGCTCTCCGGTGGTACACTGGGTAAGGAGTTGTGCTATCAATTCAAAGGTATATGATTCGAATCCACCAGTAGCTCAGCAGGAGAAAGATGGCAAATAACCTTATGAGCAATTTACAGCCTCAAAACCCACTGGCTATGAACTGGTTCTGTCTGGACTCAGCAGAAATTTTACTGATAATGTAGGATTGATTATGTGCTTAATAGTTTATCTTTGTTTGGCTGTATTTCTTGTGCACCTCTCCACGTCTTCCCTTTCTTTAGTAACATTGTGCTGGTAATTTTTAAACACTCTGCTATGTAAGCCAAAAGAAACTCTTTTGTGTACATGGGTACCATGAAATGAAAACACCTGGGAAACATATTTACAAAATTTTATATGGGACAGGAACAACCCAAAAGACTAAGTGACCTAGACAACAGAATACCAAGTTCAAGCTTGTGACATGAAACAGAACAAACCAGAACATCAATGTCCTTATCTATAAAACAAGGATGTTACCTCATAAATCCAGAAATGTACTAACTAGGAAAGAGAACTATAAAATAAGGGCTATATTTCAAAAAAAATACTAACTCTTCTATTAAAATGTCACTGCTTCTCTCAAGGAGAGAGTTAAATGAATATAAAACATTGAAGCACTTAGTTAAATTGAGTTTAATCATGTACTTGATACATATTAATGTAATCTATGTAGAGAGATTAAGGGTTTAGATCTACAAAGTTACTGAAACAACTTTTAAAATGTTCACAAATAACTTTCTTAAAAATAAACTGGTATTTCTAAAAGCAACAGCAAACATTTAATAGATTAAATGAGCAAGAAATTCCATTAATTTTGCTTTTTAGAGAGTGCCTAAAATAAATGAACTCAAATTGCAATCATTTCTTCCAACATACATATTCCAAAAATAAATCAGGTATTAAAGTCAGTTTGTGATTACAAAGCTGCCAGAAACCATCTGTGAACAAGTTGTCCCTCTATACTCATTTTCCATGGGTTCTATCTTCTGTTCACGCTGCTATAGAGCATGTTCCAAACACTGTTCCAGGGGGTAAGAACCACCTTCAGGAGACCTGGAACAGAGGCCTGCGCGCTCACTGTTGTCGGCCCACCTTTCCTTTAACTCCTAGAACATTCACCACAAAGGGCCAGAGGGTTTACTTCCCTGAAACCACGGTAGTGCCACTTCCAGAAGGCACAAGTTCCCAGACAACTAAAGGCAACATTTACCATGACATTTTCCTACTAGCACACTACTGTCCTAGAACTTTCAGCATAGAGACACAGTGAGGTCAAAGCCTTTCCCAAACTGTACAATAATAATATAAAGCTTAATCAAGTCCACAGCTGCTCCAATTAGAACTGCAGGTAGGTATTATCTATAAGGTTAAACCAACACCTAGAGGAGATCAAATTGCTAGAAAATATTTAGTAACAGTTTAAGAACCCAAAAAGCAATTTCCACCTCCTGAGGGTACAGGAGAGAATGGTTAGTGTTTTAAGTCTAAATGTTCTTATCTTTCAGAAATCAGGGTGAGCCTCCAAACCACATGTGAAATGCATGCAAATCTGTATTGGCAACAATACTGATGGAATGCAAGGGGAGTCATACACTCGCCTCATTTATGAATAACATGGCTCAATCTCGCACTACTTCTCACATTCTCTTCTGGTTAAAGGACTATTTGTCATCTTTGGTTCTTTGCACTCCTGAAACTGTCAGTGGCTGACACACACACACACACACACACACACACACACACACACACACACACACACATTCATTCAACCTGGCTCCAACATGCTGTGATCCTGTGAACAATGGAAGGAAACCCTGCCTGATGCCACACCATCCGCACAATCTCAGCTGCCTCTACGTCAATTCACCGTGTGGAGGGTCAGCTCGCCTTTCCTTGACTGACCAATTCTCCAAGCCTGAAGTCCCTTTTCCAAAGACTAGTCGTCCCGCCGTTCCCCGCCCCCATAACATTTCTTCCAGGACAGCCTGCTTTGTTCTTTCAGCAGTTCAGTCAATATTCTTCCCAACACCACAAGAGCATGTACTAATTGTCATATTCCTCTTCATACTTCATCTTAACTATCTGAAATTTTTACAAATGAGATTATACATGGACACAGTCTTCCAATGAATAGCAAGTGTTTAAAAACTCTGAAAAAAAAATCTCGAAAATTTAAGCATATATATCATTCTTCTTATCTCAAAGCAGTTCTTTCTGAACTGGCCCGCTACACAGTAGTTAACATAGATCCCAGATGGCAGGAACAAAGAAAGCTTCAAGGGAGAGAGGCAGATTGGGGGAGAATCAGTAGTGGCCTAGTGGTAAGAAGCTGAGCTGCAAAGCCCAAAGGCATGTGGTTCTAATCCACCAGCTTTCTCTGTGGGAGAAAGATGGGTAAACTCTCTTGCAATTTACTCCCTCTGAAAACTCGTTGAAGGGTCATCTATGGGTCAGTTCCAATTCAAGGGTATACAACAACAAGGAGTTTTTAGTTCCCATTTACAGTAGTCTTCAGAAGACACAGAAATCAGAGTCACTTCAAGTTAATGATCACATTAACGTCATCCGAAATTACTAAATAATTTGCTCTTTGTGAGCTTAGAATGCTTCCAGTTATTTGTTATAATATCCTTATAATAAAATTAACATGCTTCCTTTACAGCAGATAAAAGAAACTACTAGAGAAACTCATCAAATTTTATTTAAAATCAATCTTTACATGTAATTTTGAAAGGAAAAGATCTTAAAAGTATAGCATAGTATTGCAAACAATTACATCGCTATTTAATCTCATTTAAAGACGGGCAAAAGAAAGCCTTTGTGAACTGTAACGCCATGAATAGCTAGATCTGTACTTGTACAGCAATGATTTATTCTCTATTTAGACCACTGTCTTGTTAAGTGCTGCTGATGTTGATTCTGACTCATTGTGACCCCAAGTACAAAAACAAATGTTGTTGTTTGTTGTTATGTGCCATTGAGTCGTTTGCAACTCATAGCGACCCTATGTACAACAGCCCTAAACTCTGCTCTGTCCAGTGCCAATCGCACTGTCTCTGACACTCCCATCCCAATTATCCCAGTCACTGAATCAATCCACTTCATAGAGGGCCTTCCTCTCCTGCGCTGTCCCTCCACCCTCCCAAGCATGATGTCCCTCTCCAATGACCTGTCCCTCCTCACAACATATCCAAAGTATGTTAGACGGAGCCTAAGAATCCATGCCTCCAAGGAGCAGCCCGGTTTGACCCTCTCCAGGATGAATCTGTTTGTTTTCCTAGCAGTCCATGGTACCTTCAATACTCTTCTCCAGCACCAAAGCTCAAAGGCATCAATTCTCCTTCTATCCTCCTTAGTCATTGTCCAACTCTCTGATGCATAACAAATGATAGCAAAGACCATGGTCTGTATCAGATGCACCTTGGTCTCCAAAGAGACACCACTGCTCTTCAGTACTTTGGAGAGGTCCCTAACAGCAGACTTTGCCATGGCAATACGTCTTCTAATTTCCTGGCTGCTGGTGCCAGGAGTGTTGACTGTGGAGCCAAGCAAACTGAAGCTGTGAACAATCTCAACCTCTTCACCATCCATCCTGATGCTGCTAACTGGTCCAGTTGTAAGAATCTTTGTCTTGACAGTGAGCCTCAATCCATATTGGAGGCTTCAGGTCCTCCTCAGTTTCAGAAAGCAGGGTTGTATCATCTGCATATCGTAGATTGTTGATAGATCTTCCACCAATCTTGACCCTACATTTCTCCTCATAGAGCCCAGCCTCTGCATACAGGTTGAAAAGGTATGGAGACAGGACACATCCCTGGCGTATGCCCTTCCCAATTTTGAACCATGCAGTATTTCCTTGCTCTGTTCTGACGACTGCCTCTTGGTCCAAATATAGGTTTCTCATTAGCACGATCAAGTGTTCTGGTATTCCCATACATACCTACAAAAGCCTAGTAAAAGGCCATTCTTATCAACAATCCATGTTGTTGAATGTCTTCCTCTTTTTTGTTTTACCTTATAAAAAGCACGATGTTCCCTCTCTAGGGGCTGGTCCCTCCTGATAATATATCCAAAATAAGTTCACTATCTTTGCTGCTAAAGAGCACTTCTTCAACAATAAATTTGTCTGTTGGTTCTGGCAGTCCATAAAATATTCAATATTCTTCACCCTGACTTGAGTCAGGTGTACCTTCGTACTCAAAG